TTTTTAATCTTAAAATGAAAATTAAATTGCATGTTAGATAGGCAACATGTGAAAACAAAAAAATGACATGAGAAAAACATTACTTTACAAACCTTAAGGCCTAATAACAAAAATTTAATATTTTGTGTATGAAAGCATTGTAATGTTTACTGATAATCTGCCAAATGTTGTTAACATATACTAACTAATTTAAAAGTTATAGCATGAAAACTAACAAGCACAAAATGGTTATGAGATCAGGCCTGTGCTGAAAGAGTTAATAAAAACTCTGCTCTCTGCCATCCAACCATCATACAGTCCAATTAATTAGTATTTCCCTAATTCCTAATGATGTGATTTTCTTAGCTAATCTTTTATGTGGCATCTTAAACAAAAGCTTTTAGAAATATAAGTACACCAAGTTCACACTCTTTCTTATGTCCAGATAATAAGTATCTTTCTTGAAAAAATATATCAGGTTAGTAAGGAATGATTTCTCTTTGATTAATCCATGTTGGCTTTCACTTATAATATCATATTTCACTAAATGATTTACTAAAGCTTTGTTTTTAGCTTTATTAGAATTTGTCCACTACAGGAATAAGATTAACTTGTTTATAATTTCCAGGATAACTTTATCACCCCTTTAAAATTTGGAGTAACATAAACAACTCCCCAATCCTCTGCCCACATGTTATTGACCTACCAAAAATGAAAGATAGAGGCATGCATATCTGATATTTGACCATCTTTAAAACACTGGGGAAACATTGGTTGGTCCTGGTGTTTTATCTATTTTTGATCTCTCAATCTGTCTACTTTCCATCGAGGTATTAATATCTACATGATTCAGGTTATTTCCAGTATTTCCAATAGAATGCTTAGGGTCAGGAATATTGCTAATACCTTTTTTGTAAATACAGAAGAAAAGAGATCATTTAAAAATTCATTCATCTCATAATCTCAAACAATAGCCTTACCTTCAGCATCTTTTGAGGGGCCCAATCCTTTAACGCAATATAAAAAAATCCATTTGTTAATTTTAACATTATCAGCCAACTGTTTCACATGAGCCTCTAATTTTGTTTTTTATCAAACTCGTAGCCTTCCTATAGTTCTGTAAATCTTCCAACCTGTCTGGCAATTTAAACTTCTGAAACTTACGCCATTTATACCTGCTTTTCTTTCCTATGTCTTTAGTAATCTGGTAGCTTTGATCTTCACTATTATATTTTTCCAAACCTGTTATTAGAAACAAGCCTATTCTGTATTGAGTTTTTTGTTTTTTTTTGAATTTCTCCTATCTGTTCCACACTATCTTTTAACTCATTCCAGTTCACTAATAAATCTTTTCTCAAGGCTTTAAAATAAAATGAAAATTAGGGACCAAAATTTAATTTCCTCTGTCTCAAGATGTAGCAGAACATTGAACCTAATTAGTGGTTAACAATAAGTCTAAAATGGCATACCCTCATGTTGGTTCTCAGTCCATTTAATACAGAAAACCATCCTGCATCACTTCAAGAAATCACTCTTGCTATTGGACTCCTGACAATCCTAATCATTGTGTTCAAACTTAGTCTCTCCTAATCATTACATTATTGTTCCCATTAATATCATCCCTAAACTCATTATACACTTTCTCATTTACTTCTGTTTTTTGATCAGATGGCTTAAAACAATTGGCAATTAAGAACTTTAGGCTCAGCTTCTTATCTACTATTTTTTCATCTTCAGTCTAATAGGTTGCAGTTTATCCTTTAAATAAAGTCAACCCACCACCTCTCGTAAAAGGTCTATCATTATTAAGTAACATATAACCAGGAATTTCAAAAAATTATAGATAGCAAATCTCCAAGTTTCAGTGATTTCTATTATATAATAGTCTTCCATTTCAATTAAAACCCTGAACTCTTCTATTTTGTTCCTAGTGCTCCTAACATTAGAATAATAGCAAATATTCTTGATCCTACTATGTTAATCTTTAGATCTCACTCACTTACATGTAAAACTATTTGACTTTTTATGATCTGAAGCTCAGTTTTCCAAACTTCTTGTTTCCCTAAATTTATTATCACTTTGTTTATTCCAAATTTTCCTCAACAAATGCAAGATTAGTTTAAACTGTCTTTAATACACTTAGGCTTCCCCAAGTAACCTACTGCCTAACCATCTCTAGAATATAATTCACTATTATCCTAAAATTATCTCAGAGGTTCAGTCAACCCATCTTTGCTCTAAGCATATCCCTTCTAATCTTTCATTTCAGCCTTAGGTCTTTTAAGTAATTCACTACTACATCTAGGCTGAAGCAGCACTCCCAAAAGATCCACCTGTATTTCTATCACAAAACCTCTAACAGTGTTTTCTATAGTTATTAAGCAACTTCTTTTGATTTATAGTTTCGAACAGCATTATCAGTAAAATAAATAATTAAGAAGAAAATCATTATGAAGCAGATAAAAACTTGTTTACAATAGATATCAAATAAACACATACACACACACTCCCCAGAAAAGACCTATATATCTTACTAGATTTTTTAATAGTTTCAGAAAGTGTACCAACATCTATTTTTCATTGTATTTATTTCTTATGTACTTGTTTTATTTCTTTATTTTGCACTTTATTAAGTGCTGTTATTTTCCCATGGTTTAAATTTATTTAATTTTTCTAATTAGAATATTGTAAGATAAAGCTACTTATGCACCAATTGACTTATTCTAAAAATGTTTATTTTCAGATAAAAGTTATCAGTTTGTCTGTGGAAGTCACAAATGGTGACTTTTTTGTGTAGCCAAAATTTGTAATCACTACTTTGAGCTGCATAGTTGGTGTAAAACTATCTGCAGACGTAGCTTTATGGTGGATCTAAAAACATTTTGCAACTCTTTTGAACTGCACTCTCAAATTTACTTAAGATATTTTTATATTGCTGATTTAACAGTATCAAACTGCTAACTAAATATTTAAAGAATAGCATCATTTTTATGTTTTTATATTCTGTTTGTTAGTGTCAAGTTAAAGTGATTCTCAGCCAGGTTTCTAATAAAATATAAGGAAAAATTTATATGATTATTGTTCAGCTGGAAAGTAATACGGTGTCAGGAGGAGGACAAACAAACAGCAGAAAACCCTGATGGACACAGTGTTTGTACAGCATCCACTGATATGTGGCTGGAACAAGAAGATGATTGGGGTGAGGCTTCTACGGCAGGTTTGTTAGAAGAAACATCACATCTCTGCATTACTAATGAAGAATCTGAAGGTGGTGAGAAAAATGACAATCTTGAAGTGATATTAGATCCAGAAGAGGATAAGAAACAATTCTTAGAAGATCCTGGAATTCAGGAGGATGACTTAGAAAAGTGTGTTAGTGAAGAAGAATGTAAGTTCTTGCAGTCAGGTCAAACTAGTGTGATTGTTGAAGACAGACCAATTCCTGATCATAGTGGTGAACGACTTAAGTCTGTTTTAGGTGAAAGAAGAGATCATTCTATTCCACCCCATGTTGTACCCGTGTTTGAACCTTATTATATATATGTTATAGAAGAGCCATCTGAATCAGGCATGTCTCGAGAACTTTATCAAAAACATAAGAAATATCAACAGGAAGAAAACGTTTTCTACAGTATTCACAAGAAAAGGTAATGTAATTAACAGAAATAAAATAAAACCTTTTCTCTGGAGTATTCTTGCAATTTTAGGTTGATAAATTCATATAGATTATTAATGATAAGATACAGCCAAAAAATCACTTTAAAATGATATAACCTTAGCAGTTTTAAAAAGATAAAATTTTCTATTGGGAATCACTAGTTCACTCCTGATGAAAGGAGGTGTGCCTTGAAAGAAACGGGTTATTTTATTTTTTTTATTATGAGAGTAAAAGAAATATTATTAATATTGATGACTATAGAAAGTTTCAACTACTCAAGACCAGGAAATAACTAATTTTAATGAAAAATGGCCATTAACCCTTTTGAGATGGATCACGGGTGAAAGGCCATGTCATCTTGTTTGTTGACTCGCATTCAAAATTTTATTGAACTACCTTTTTAAAGAATTTATCTCATTAAGTTTGGTATCAAACTGTAGATTATAATTC